GTGCTTATTCGGGTCATATTTGGGTTTTTAGGTTCAACTCGAACCCGATCTGAATAATAAATGGGTCGAATTCTCCGACTCAAAAAATATTCGGGTCAACCCTGACTCAAATTTTCAGAGTTGAGTTTGAGTCGTGTTGACGTGTCGTTAATGTTTGACATCCTTACACATGCCCCCCGTGCAATGCTTATGGTGCCACGGTGGAACAAAGAAATCAGAAGGCTATGAGAGCTGCTTCTGACCTCCACCAACCTAGCTGTAAGGTTCATGCTAACAAAAAAGAAGTGGAAAATGCCAATTCCTCCACCAGGATGTGAATATTGATTGCTATGCACACTATGCAAATGTCCAACCTTTTGTTTTCACATGGGCGCTTAGATATTAACAATGTGGAGGGGGCCACTGAAGATTCTTTGGGTCCTTGGACGTTGGTTACCAATAGGAAGAAAAACCACCTGCTAGAGGTACCTAGAAGGTTCAAAACAACCAGTTAAATAAACCTTTTTCATGTGAAATTTATGATTTTTCTCTTCAAGGGGCCACATCTCCCTCTGAAAATGTTTCTTTCCCATCCCTGTCTCCTGCAAAGAAAGGAAATATGGGTGGTGGATTCTTCTCTCAAACCCTCTGATGGAGACAACTGGGAAAATCACTGTTCCCACTCCACTCCCTCTCAAAATTTCCCTATTGAAAGATTGAGGAATATGTCGAAAAGGGAAACAAAAAGGCTGCAGAAAAGCAAACACCACTGTAATTTTGGAGAGAATTTCTTATGGCTATTTTGATAAAGAAATTCAAAAACTTGGCCTGATTGAGCGTATACCTGAACTTTCAGTCGGCGGTGTCGTATCCCCTCTTCGGAGATGATAAAAAACACCATGTTTTGGAACTTTCATGGAGTCCGTAAGCAAACAAATGACAATTATTTAAAACATTTTGTGGCCTACAACGATGTCCATATTGTGGGGTTGCTTGAAACTAAGAATGAAAGTCTCAATCGTATTGATGTTGACAAACTTATTGGTACTAGTTGGGAGTTTCTTCACCAACGTGCTCGTCAGAAAGCCAAAGAGATTCTCCTATTGCGGCGAAAAGATTCTCTTATTTTTGACATCTTCCAAAATGATTAATGCCTGGCTTGTTGCTGTGGTTTATGCTAATATAGATTTTCCACTATTTTTTATTGGGGGTGGAAGAGGGGGGGTTATTTTATATGTATCGACTCCCAGGAGGATAAAAAGGGTGGCAGACACTTTCATTCATCGCTCAAATAATATGTTAATTTACGATCTACAATGATCTTCATGAACTTGACTTTGTGGCTCCTGGATTTACATGGAGTAATAATGGGGTTAGAAGCAGAATTTGTGTTCATCATGATCGAATTTTGATCAATTTGGCGGCTTCAAATCTTTGACGTCATGCTTGGGTTCACCACCTTGATAGGGTGGCCTCAAATCATAGCCCCTTGTACTCAATTGTGGGGACCAACTCCTTCGTAATCAATCCAACTGAATAAAATCTGAAGATATTTGGTTAGCTTATCCCATGGCCTATAAGATTGTGTGGAAGAAGTGGATTAAATCTGACTTTGACCCTATTGTTGATATCCTTGAAAGGAAAAGCTTCAACATCCTTTAAGCTATTTTCTTTTGGAGCAAAAATAAACTCAAAGTGCTTAACACTTCCAAGGCGCTGCTCGAAAAGGAAATCAGTGATCTCCAAATGAAAAATTGTACTCTAGAGGCCTCAATCCTGAACTCAAATGTGTCTTAAAAATCAAAATTCCGGAACTTAATACTATTCTTGCCATAATTAATGTGTGGTGGAAATAACAAGCTAAAGTCAGGTGGTTAAAAGAAGGAGAAAACAACTCTCGTTTCTTTCACTCCCTCACATTCGCTCGTTCCCGTACCAATCACATCAAGTCTATTATTATGGAAGATGGTTCTTGGTCAAACAAGGTGGAGGACATCAGGTGCAGTTTTTTAAACTTCTTCCATAATAAATGGAAGGCTACTGACATCCAGATTCATAATTGATCGAATTTTGATGAGACAAAGCGCATTAATGATGTGGAGGGCTGTCGGCTTGATGAGGCAATTACTAGGGAGGAAATTACTGCTGCGGTCAAGGACCTGGACTCCAACCGTACTTCGGGTAAGGACGAATTGACTACTTTTCATAAACATTACTGGAACATTGTTGGCAAGGATGTTATAAATGATATTCAGTAATTTTTCTGTTGCCAGCACATGCCCCCTTCTTGCAAAGATACACTTATTACTCTTATTCCCAAAAAGGATAATGCAGACTTGCAGTCTCATTTCGACCAATAAGTTTGTGCCACCCTAATTATAAGGTTGCTGCAAAAATTTTTGTTAATCACTTGAAATCTCTTCTCCTATCTCTCATTTCTTTGGAGCAAGCCACTTTCCTCCCAGGAAGATCAATTTCAAGCCACTGCCTTCTTGCTCAAGAGATTATCAATAAATTCAAATGCTCTAGTTCCACATCGGGATTTATTGCCTTTAAAGTTGATATGGAGTAGTCCTATGACAAAATAAGTTTGCAAGCCCTCCAAATTGTCATGGAGAGAATGCGGTTCCCCACGAAATTCAGAAGTTGGGTTGCTTGTTGTATTGAAAGCCCGAGATTTTGGCTTCTTATTAATAGGACTACTTCCTCTGGATCACAACGGAGTGCGGCTTCTAGCAAGGATGCTCGTTATCTTTCTATCTTTTCATTCTTTGCTCGAAACTTCTTCTATGGCCTTTCCGCAACATCATAATGAGTTGGGTAGTAATATTGCTTGCAATGGTTTTAAATTATTTTACCTCCTTTATGCAGATGTCATTCTTATCTTTTCGGAAGCCAACTTGCGTGCGACGAGAACTATTTCTAATCTTCTCCATGATTATTGTATGTGAATTGGCCAAAGAGTTGATTCTTTGAAGTCGGCTATTATGTTTTGCAAGAATACCATTACTTAGAAGAAAAGAAGACTTACCATCTTTTTACAGTTGCGCAAGGCGGAGGAACTAGAGTACTTTGGCATCCCTTTCGCCCTCAGAAAGCTGAATCAACAGGATTTTCAGAGCTTTCTCCAAAAATCTGAAACTAAGCTAAACTCTTGGGTGTTGCGACACCTTATCTCTTGCTGGTCAAGCCACACCTTATTCACACCTCCCTTTTATCTATGCCTTGTTACTTAATTATGCACCGAGATTCATGTCTATGTCCTCCGGGATATTGAAAAATGCTGCGAGAAATTTCTTTGGAATAAGTATAACTCCTCCAAAGGTTTACATTAGGTGGCTTGTGCTGATCCATGTAAACCGTGTTCTATGGGCGGCTTAGGGTTCCATGCCCATACCCCACTAGTTGAAAGGGTCCTCTACGGGCTAGGTTGGCATTGGATTGTATCTCCAACCGTGACTCTATTCTCCACCGCTTCCTCCATCCAAATAATGGAATCCATATTTGGTAAGCTGCCTACAAGTGCAACAACTCGACAACTTGGAAGGTGATTATTGATGGTGCCCGTATGCTTCAGCCAACTGTTGGATGGAAGGTTGCTAATGGTTAGAATATTCACATCCTTAATCAAACTTGGGTTACAGATCTACCCTTGGATGAGTGGCCGTAATTTTTTTAATCTACGAGATACTCAAGACAAAACTATTTCATATCTTATTACTAGTTGTGATTGGGATTTTAAAAAATGATATCTTTGTTTTTGTATGGAGTTGGGAAACCGAATCACACATATCCAAATTCACGCGGAGCTTCCTTTCGACCAAGTTGAATTCGCACATAACTATATTGACAAAACCATCACTGCTCGGGCGTATGAAGTGAACTTGGCAAATGATCACTACTTTTTATGGATGAAAAATCTCAAGATTCACTCGTGTGAATGGTTTTTTTTGGTGGAGAGGGTTTTACTATTTCTAATTTTATTGACCTACAAGAGGTCACTAAGGGCCTCACCATTTCCAGTGGCAAATTATGGTTCTCATCTCTTCTTTTGTAAAGTTGTCCATCAATGTTGGAGAGCCCAGAACACTTAGAAGCAGGGGTGGTCTTATGTTAGTCCAACAATTCTTGCTTCTACTCTTGAAGCTTTGGTTCCTCCACACAATTTCCATCTTGTGGAGCAATGGGGCACTATTCAGTCTGACCAACTATTACACTCCCTCAAGGTGTACTCTCCCCTTCGGATGGTTCAAATCTAATATGGAGGGATCCCTTCTTCCTTCCCAATTGGGTTGCACTGACATTGCTTTGAGAAATGAAGTTGACAGTCTTATTATGGCTGCTGGCAAGCCGGTGGAGCACTAGGATAGTGCTAAAGGTGGAAGTTGTGGATGTTGGATGTTAAATGTACCATTATCGAAGAAGATAATTTAAATATTATCAATTCCTTATGACGGGTTACTATGGATGATAGATGGAGTGGAAGACTGCAAGATACACAAGACATCTTTTTTTATTTCGTTCAAACAGGTTATTTTTCAACATATAGACATGAAGAAGAGTATGGTTGCCCATACTTGTGCTAAAAGAACCATTTTTAGTTGTTTTATTTTGTTAGAAATGTGGATAGCTCACATTTTTTTTTCCTTTCTGTTGATTTTGACCAAGCCCATATTTTGCACGGCTAGGCCTTTCGTTGTGCTTCTTTTTCTATTAGTTTATTTTATTTAATGCAAAATGCTGTATTTCACCGGACCGGACAGTATTTTTTAGTTTCTAATGCTACATTTTCTGGTTAGATGCATATTAGCTATCATTTATATTGGTCTAATTTTAGCTATCATTCTTAAATTCCAACAGTTTGATCACATTTTTCCAATTTCTATAATAATTATGTTCTGCATTGTATTATTTTAAGTTGACTTTTATTAAGGTTTAGCATTTGATTTGTTGTAATATGCAGTCTTTTAAATGAGATAGAAACGCTAATTTGGTTATGGCACTTTTGGTTGTCCATTCAGGTCCTCATGCGAATGCTCATTCACATCATATCTACAATGAGCTGAAGATGTTGGAACGATTTGGGTAATTGATAAATGAGAGAATTTTTGAATTTTAATGGTTTCTATTAGCACTTTATAAGTTCTTTTTTTGTGTTGTAGAGGACGCAACTTTGTAATTAAATTTGAATGCTCTTTTAAGAATGGAGATTCAGAGTGTTTCGTTCTAGAACATGTTGAGCATGACCGACCAGAGGTATAATTCATTTGGTTATAAACTCATGCAACACGATATAAAAATAGGGCATTCACATACATACCACCTAATTCCTACAGATTTACATATTTAACACCTAAATTTTACTTCTTACATTCTTACAATCACCAAAATATTTCATATCACATTAAAAATACCATCATTTTTTTTACTTTTAAAAATTGATATGCACCTATTCATGCATAGGCAAGGTGACATTTATGTAAAAAATTGATGTTTAGGTGTTAAATATGTAAATTCATATAAATTCTGTGCTACGTATGTAAATCTTACTATTAAACTGCTGATATTACTCTTTTATTTCAGATTTTGAAGAAAGAGATTGGTATGTTTGAGCTCCAATGGTATGGTTTTTGTATGTTCAAAGCACTGGCAAGCTTGCATAAGCAGGTGAGATACATGAGATGAAGCTTTGCACCGTTTGCTTCACAATTTTGATATAGGCTTATCTTTCTCGCGTTTGCAGGGTGTTGTGCACCGTGATGTCAAACCAGGAAACTTCCTCTTTTCCCGCAAAGTCAACAAAGGTTATCTTATTGACTTCAATTTAGCTAGTGTGAGTTCCATGCACTCTGCATCTATTTTAGTGTCTTCAATTGCCTGATTGAATACGTTAGTGATATATTAGTTTATCATCTTTTTTCTACTGCACAGGACCTGAATCAGAAGTTTTGGAGAAGCAGTAAGTTCCATTGCCTTTGTCCTTCAGTAACAATGTATAAGTGTATTGCTTATTTCACCGACTGAATTTATACTCTTTTTTTTAAAAAAAATTTCCATCGAACTTATGCAATTTTTTGTAATAAAATTTTCTAGTTATTCTAATGTTATGCTAATTTAGCACTAGTTATGAATTGGTGGGACTCAATTATGCAAGCCACCAGTTCCTAATCACTAAAATGTGATCACATGCTTCCCATGTTAATTGATAATTTTTTTTGGGAGTAAAATTTTTTTTTATAGAGGATAACTGGCTTATTTCAGGCCCATTTATTGGTTTGAGAGCCAGACCATGCAATTGGTCAGACTCAACCATTGCTAACAAATTATTACATGAGCTAAACTCACCTTGATAAAACTGCATGTGAGTTTATATGTGATACATGACAATAAGGGAAGATTAAAACACAGCAAAAAGTGAAGCTAGGATATATTTTTGCATACCATTTTTTCAGCTTTGGTCTCCTATTTAAAGATCATAACTATAGCTAACCCTAAATTCAACTTCCACTATTAATACAATCTCCTATTATTATCATCGATAAATCCATTACTTATACTACCTCCCATTGTCAATCAAACTACCCACAAAGATGTTTGACTGCATCTTTTTGGTCTCTTAATTTACGTGAGCAGTTGTTGTTGAAGTACAGGATGAGGCGAAGTATCCATAAAATGTTTTCCCTCTTGATGATCATTGTTCATAAGGGTATAGTTGGGTTATGATTTTGGGAATTGTCTTTCATTTTCCTATGCGGCATCTTTGATGGGTGCCCCCTTTCATTTGATTATTTTTTGTTTTAGGTCCATATTTGCCTTTATGAATAACTAGACGATTTAATATGAATTCAAGTTTAAGTTTACTTCAAAGGTCGTGGATGTTGTTTATAGGGTTGTAGTTTTAAATTGACGTAATACCCTTATGTGGAAATCTGAGAAAGTCTTGTGGAGAATTTGATCAGGACAAATTTGGAAGTCCTCGATTAGTTTATTCCCTTCATATTTTATGTTATTTTATTTTTTTTAAGACTTATTTCATTTCCTAATTTAGGTTAGATATATTTGGTAAGTTTATAATTTAGGAGAGATTTTTTTCCCTATATATATGTACTCTACATGTGAATAAAGAATCATGGGAATTATTCCTCCCCAAATCTATTTTTCTGCACCTTCTGTAAAAGAAACTTCACGATTGTGTTGGTTCACTTGGATCTTAGTTCTATTTAGTGCTAGTGAGAGGTTGCGTCAGAGTTCACAGAGGATGGTATCCTATTCTTGCAAATGTTCAATAATTGCTGGGGCATGAGCAGTTCCGTGGACATATGTTAATGGGTGGGGAGGGAGAATTTCATAAACATTCTCAAATGGGGTGACTTTGGTGGATGATCAGGTGGAACTTTTGTAGTTGTATTCTACTCACAGATGTAACTATTTATTTCGGGGTTGTTCTCCTGCAAAGCACTTATTGCTTTAGACTTTTTAATTTACAGCCTAAATTTGGCCATCTAATTAGTGGTGGTAACTGGAGCTTATAAATACTTTGGTCCCTTGCGCTTGAAAAAGAAGTTGCCAAAAGTTATTGATGAATATTTTGTCATGATCTCTAACAATGATTTTGAGAATCTCATGCAACCGGACAATGTTAGTAACAAAAGCCTCTACAACTTGAACCGTAGAGAAAAGATGTTTCTAGGGAGTAAAAAGGCTTTATTTGGACAAGCGATCAACTACGACCATAATCATTGAGGGAAGTCATTTATGAAATCCATAGAGATGCCGACCTATATCTTTGTAGGAATTGGAAGGGGTTGGATCTTCTCATGTTTACCCAATGAAGCTTTTTTTGATGTTAGAGAGAGTTTATGGTACCTTAAATGTCCTCTCATAGGAGAACAATGACAATCTTCCAAGATTGTTTTGGCAAGAGGTGAGTTGGGGATTAGCAATACCTTATTATTTTTCAATCAAATCCATTATGATGGACCATGGTGTGGTCAATGGGCATGTGAGAATAGAAAGGATCTTACTCGATCTCTTCTTAGAGAGTTGCCCACCAATTGGCCTAAGACTGGGAAAATGTTCACAGTTAAAACTCAACTACTCGGGTTAAGAAGTTCAGGCCTAGATTCTATTTTTCCTTCTTAAATTCAATCTGGCAGATATACCCCATCATTTTGGGAAGCCAATTCTTTGTTCAAACTAGTACATAAGGTTTCTTTGATAGGCTCTTTTGATGAAAGACCTTTCGATAAGGTAAGGGCACCACTTTTGAATTGTGGTATGGTGGCTCCCAGATATTTTCTTAATACACTTACGTGAATAACATTGTGAATTTGTGACCCAGGAGGATCATAGTGGTGATAAACAACGAGTCTCACTTTTTCGATTTATTGGTAAGGGCCCAAAAAATGAATGGTGAGCTTAAGATTACTTCCAAATGCTACAGATGTTTATCTGTTGAATTTTAGTTTCTAATATAAATAATCCCCTTCCGTAAAATAGACTTTCATGTTGTGTCGGTCCCACTAGGGTCTTTATTCTATTTTGTGCTAGAGAAAGGTTGCATCAGAGTTCATGGAGGCTGTTATCGTGTTCTCATAATTTTTCATTAACCCATGGGACATGAGCAGTTTTGTGAGCACATGTGAGGGAGATGCATAAGCATCCTCTAATGGGGGTGATTTTGGTGGATGGGTGGGTGGAAGTTTGGTTGCTGTGTTCCACATATGGAAGTCGCTATTTATTTTTCGGGTTGTGCTCCTGTAAAACACCTTAAATATTGCTTCAGATTGAATTTACAACCTTAGTTTGGTCACCTAACTGCGGGTGGTAACTGTAGCTCATGCTTTTGGTCACTTGTATTTGAAAAAGTTGCCAAAGAAGGTATTGATGCAGATTTTGTCATGATCACAAACGATGAATTTGAGAATTTAAAGCAAGCGGACAATGTTAGTAACAAAAGCCTTGGCATCTTTGGTGGTTGAAATAATGTTTCAAGGGGATAAATTAGTTGTATTTGGACAAACAGTCAACTATGATCATAATCATCATGTGCCCTTAGGCGTAGGGAAGCCTTTGATGAAATACATTGAAATGTCAGCCTATATCTTATTCTGAATTGGAAGGGATTGACAATATCATCCTGCTATTGAATTCTCAATGGTGTGATTTAATCTATGTCAAGAAATGTGTTTGTTAAAATTCAACAACACATTCATTTCATATTTGTGATCTGATGATCAAATTTTGAAGGATGCTTCTCCGGGTCTTATTTGAAGTGAATGGCAAGAATGACAAAATTGACCTTCTCCCTTATGATTAGATTCTCACCTCATAGTACTTGTGAAAAGTAAAAATTGGTCTAATGATTTGTCTTCACTTACAATAATGTGAATTACATGCAAAATTTATGCATTCTAAAACATTGTGCCAAATGTTTGACAAGCACTTAAAAATAGTTCATTATGGAGTAATTTAATCAAAATTATGAGATGAATCAGCGAGGAGCTTGATTTATCAACACAGAGAAACGTCATCCACAACTTGATAATTGCATATAGTCACCATAAAGTATCTATCTTCTTTGAGTGGCGGTTTCTTTAGGAGTAAGGTTGGAATTTTGGCCAGTTACTCTTTCTTTGACAATATCAGGTTGATCAACTTAATGTTTAATATCTCCCACTCATTATATGAATTATGACCCTGCATAAACTTTGTACTAATTGAAGTGATTTTATGAGCTTTCAACGCAAGAGTCTTATTAATTTTGGGAGAGTTAATGCCATACATGACATGCATCAAGACAATTTTGATCATTTCTTGCATTGTTCCTTTGTATGCATTTAATTGTCATGTAATTATTGATATGTCCTTTTTTTCAAGATAATTTTTTATTTTAGTTAGATGACCTGTTCTACTTTCATGATTTATCAAGTTTTTTATTCAAAATAATTTGAATTATTCATGTAGCGCTATTTTTAGAAATAAAAGTATATCTAACTATGGTTTGAATATTTTTAAAATTTGATTTGTTCATACATATATGTGTGTGCACGCACACACACACACACACACACACACACACACACACACACACACACACACACACACACACACACACACACACACACACACACACACACACACTAGAAGAAAAAATAAAAATAGAAAACAAAAGTGATGCCAAATCGCCCTAGATTGTTTGATCCGATGGAGAAATATATTTTATCTATGGATTAATGGGCGGATGTAAATCTTTAAATGTTTATATTTTTGTCAAAGGTAAAGGTAAAATGAATTTGTAGAAGGGTTGACATGACATTGCAACTGTAGATTCAAATATAATTATTACTTTCAACAATTTATGCTTGACTCCTTAGATACATTTGTTCGGTGATTTGTATCCATTAGTATATGCAATTATTTAAGGATTTTTTTCCTTTTCATATAATTAGATTGGAAGCTCAAAATATACTTTTCTAGATGTAATCTTTAACAACTTGTGTTATTTACTAAGTGTTTGTGACACGGGAGTTTTCCTCCAGAACACGAACAATTTAAGTTGTGAGAGGGGAGCTGAACCTGTCCCCATTCCCTCCTCTTTTCATTAGGTGGGAATTCCCACCCCCCTTTTTTTTCGTTTCCCGCCCATCTCTTATCTATTTATATGTGTTTTTGGGTCTTAGGGTTTTAACTTATGTTATTTTCTATTTTCAGTTTGTGAGGATAGTTGCTGACGTCCTATTTTTCCCTTTCCCTCAAGGGCTATATCCAACAGTTAGGGTGGTGCTCCGGCTGTATCCCTCTCCCTAGGTAGTGATTATCTACTACCCATCTCCTTCCAACACTCCTCCAACTGCCATTGCCCCTCTGCTAGCTGCCTGAAGGTTGCAACTTGCTTGTCAGCTATTTCCTCCCACCCATCACTCCTTTAAGAGGGCAACAATTTTACCCAATCCCTCC